GGTTATGTTAGCTTCAGAAATTTTATATTGAAAAAAATGATTTGGATTTTTTTAGCCTGCATTGATTATTCTGTAATTATATTATTTCCATGAATTATTTTCATTTTTATCTTTAAAATATGAAAATTTCCACAAAAATTATTTTGGTCTTGATCAGTTACTCAATACTTGAGAGCAAATACATTTTTACTCTTACTTGAGTCATTTCTTGCATGGCTAGTTACGTTTTACTTGAGTAAAATTATGCTGAAGTAGTGCTACTCTTACTTGAGTACTCTACCCACCTCAGCACGTCAGGGTGTATCAAAACAAACATAACGTGAAAGCGAGTGTAAACCTAAAACAGTACAGTCAGACATTTCAGCTCATTTCTACACATCTATTTAATAAATGAAGTATTAAGTTTTACCAAGTCACTAAGTTCCTCAAAGTTAAAAACATGATTAAAGTTGGTTGTGTCTCAGCCTCAGAAATGTGACTGCGATACAGTAGATGGACATAATATTTCAGATAATCCAACGACAACAACAGATCCAAACACACAATCACTCCTCTTCACTGAACCTGTTGCAAACACATTTACACCACACTATTTATTTATGAGCTTCTCTGACTCAAATTCCTTTTCATTCATCATTTTCCTGCACCTAGATGTAATTTCTGATCATGCAGAGAGGAGAGTTTTGCATTTATTTTACATATTTAAGTGTAGGTGTGTCAGAGGAGGTGTGTTGTGTACTCTCAGTTCCACGTTCTTGAGCTGTATGAATGAAAAGAGTGCAGAAACATGCATGCTCATAGTTTGATATATGTGACGATTTCTGAAYGTAAGCAATTTTCCACTTTCATACTACAACAACTTTTAGTAAGCAACACACATTTTGACACATTAGGCACCTGCGGAGGGGAACAAGGAACAGGTATGAGTGGAACAAAGGCTGAGATCAACAGGAAAGCTAGAAATCAAACACAAACCAAACCCACAGATACTTAAAAAAACCTACATGTAAAATTTAAACCTATATGTAACTTTTACAAAGTTATAGCCATATTTAAGCTGGCTAAAGTTGGTAAGCTGTGGCAACTGTCTTTAATTGAACTGACTCCAAAAGTCAAAAGTAGCTGTCACCTCATTATTTTCTGAGAGTTTCATTGAAATTAAAACAACTGTTGCACTTTGATGGTGTCAAACATTAGTATTCCATGTTTATCAGGAAGTGTTTCAAAGTTTGCCATTTACAATAATCTACAATAATTCTTTAATCTGATGGCGTCTGAAACAACTTTTCTGCCTTTCTTGGCTTCATCTACTGCAAAGATCACAGTGTGGAAACCTGATAAGTCACTTTGAAGAAACTCACAACCATTGCAGCAKCTTGACTTTCCTCAGCCCACTGAATATAAAGCAGGAGCATTTCCAGCTCTGAAAAAYCAGGCTGTCCTTTCATTTCTGTCARSTAGTATTTTATTCTGCATTTGGTCAGTGCATGGCTTTACTGCTTTAGATGTGCTGCAGCTCCATGCAAAGCACAGACACACATATCTGGCACAGCTTAGAGCATGTTCATCTGTACCCTGCTGCACGGCTCATGGTTGCATGACTCACCAGTTTTTGCTGTCACCTTGCAGATTTGTAAGAGGAAGGCAGGTTCGCCCTGAGACAACAAACCTGCACACTGCTGTAGAAGACATGGACCTTCCTGTAACTGTCACACATTAGTCACAAATAATGTAAAAAGTGAACAAGAAAAAATATGTAATAAAACATGTTCTTATAAATCAGTTTTTTGTACTTTATTTAAAAAAACATAACACACCAGTATTTGAGAAAGGTTGTATTTGGTGAAAACTACTTGTACAAGGACTGAATGACTTGTAACAAGAGACTCCCAATCATTGATATAAATGACTGGATTGGGTGTGGCTAGCACGTTGCTTCCCACATGGACGTAAGCACACTGGAGCTCTGTCATGCACTGAAGAGCTTCAACAAAATGAATAGATGTCAATGAACTGTGAGGCRTCGTCCTTTAGAAAAACTCCTGTAATTTTCTTATTTCTTGCTTGATTTTCACAAACCGTGGTTCGAAATAAAGCTAAGGAAATTGTGAATTTTATGGTYTACAWAATTTAAAAATAACTCATTCAAATGACTAACAGTGGCTTAAAATAAGCCTTTTGTGTTTCACATGTTTTTTTTATGTCAATGAGTTCTGACCAGGTTTCATTCATGCATGGATTTATCAATCAGACCTGAGCCTTAGAATTTAAAATAATAAAATTCATCTTTCAAAGAAAGATAGATCGATGGATAGTTGGATATGTATTGTCGTGGCATGATTTACCAAGAATGCAGAAACAGTTTTTGGCGTTGTCTGAGGGCGGCC